CAGGTGTGGCAGTAATCAGGCCTGGGTGTGGCTAGAGAAATTGAACTTTCCAAAGATGTGATAAACCACAGTTCATTTATGTTTTAACAGGGGGGGGTCAATCACTTTTTCACACAGGGCCATGTAGGTTTGGATTTTTTCCCCCTTAATAATAAAAACCTTCATTTAAAAACTGCATTTTGTGTTTACTTGTGTTATCTTTGTCTAATATTTAAATTTGTTTGATGATCTGAAACATTTAAGTGTGACAAACATGCAAAAAAAATAAGAAATCAGGAAGGGGGCAAACACTTTTTCACACAACTGTATATAGTCTAGTAGTAGTAACGTGTCTGTGTAGTCAACAACTGTCAAATCAAATAAAGAACGTGCACATCAATTATATTTTAACAAATATTCTCAGTTTACAAATTTAACTGGATGGATTATATATAATACATAGAAATACATAAATACATGTCCTCTACTTTCAAGTAAAATAAGAGCTGGATTAAAGAATAACTGACATAACAGAAAGCTTTTCAAAAATGTGCATCTTAAAATAAAGTAATTCATTTTAGAAAAATTAATTTCACTGAATTGTCCTGCAGCTTTAAATTCAGTTCATTCAGGTGTGAAGTGATGTCAATCAAAAAAGCCACAATATTATATTTTTCTCATCTTCTAAAAAGAGAAATGTTTGTGCATGGACTTTATCTGTGTTTATTAAACCACTTGTTTCAGCTCTATTCTCTCTGTTAACATCATTGTTGGGCAGTGAATTCATTTGTTAGGATTCTGATCATTTTGGACTCTTAGGTTTATTTTCTGTGACTTCATTCAGATGTGAGTGGGTACGTTTGCTCAAAAGAGTTGTGCTTTGTCTGGTAGTGTCGCTTCATTTACCGCTTTTAATAATCGTCACGGTCTCTGAACATATGAGACACACTGGTTATAAACTGTCCGTGTGAAGAATAAACCTATAAGAGTCTGTTCATTCTTGGTTAAAGACTCTGGTCTCTTTTTTCTTTTTGGAGAACGTCATGTGAACTCCTCTGACTCATGTATTATTCTCCTGCTCTTCCTTCTCTTTCCTCGTCTCTGCCCCGGTGTGTGTACATATCACTCCAGTCAGGAAACTTGTCAGAATACCCATATTTGATTGGCTGAGCCGCATCACGTGATGTGATTTACAACGCATTGGTCAGTGCGTTTCCTGCACCGCTCAACAAGTGCCGTCAAGGCTGAAAAAGCTGCGCCGGTTAAAATAGAAGCGCCCTGTCAAAATAAAATCGATTTTAGGTCCTGGGTCCGGATCCGGACCGCGGTCCGCCAATTGGCGACCCCTGGTCTAAAAGCTTCAATTCGAAGCCAATTTTATGGAAACTTGACTTTCCATGACGGGGATCTGAATCAAACTACATGATGATGCCAATTTGTAAAAAGTCTAAATCCATGCTTTGTTAGTTCTCTCCGCAAGGCGACAATTCAAACAACTTTTAAAATTCTTAATTTGTGAATGGAGCCCGGATCGATCGGTGCTAGGCTATGCTAACATTGTAGCTGCTCCATCAAAACTCAAAATAACCGTATCGAGGCATAAATATGGGAACGTCGTTATTGTTTATACCATATGGTTCATACACATGCATTTTTAAACATAGTTTCGTCCGCTCTCTACTAATATGAGGTATCGTAGAGCTCTGAGAAAACCCCTACTACAGTATATTTTTTTCTGGTTCAACAATGTCAGGACGTCAGCGATGACAGGAGGAGATCTCAACGCTGATAGGCTTTTGCTTCACAGCGAATGAGTTATACCTGCTTTATGCTGCGTCTTTTATTGTCTGCTGCCATGTTCATAGCTTAGGCAATTACATTGGCATTTAGCTCAAAGCAGCCTTGCGGAGATGCATGCATAGCTGTAGATACAATTCTGTATTATCAATCCGGCTCTCTACACAGGCCAGGTAACCTGCGCCAAACGCATAAGCTTGACTTGAAGCGTACTTTTTACACTTTGCGTCTATTTTAATGCCGTTTTACGTGTGTAACGTGCCTGAATGCATCACGAGCAGACACACACTGTGCCATAACCACTTCCCAATAATTACTTGCAGGTATCTTCTTCTGAGGCAAATTTGTGATTTGTCATTTTGGGCTATACAAAATACATTGAATTGAATTGTTTGATTGTTGCTCACTCGAAAACCCCCCAAAAAAGCACTTAATAGAGACCCATTTTTACGAACATATTTTTGTACCTTTAATTACATTTTATGGAGTGTTTTGAGCGATGATGTAGGGATTATTGAATAATTTTGTGTGGGTGTGTGTGTGTGTGTGTGTGTGTGTGTGTGTGCGTGTGTCAGTCTGATCTTCTCAGGTATGCGGTTGGGCGCCGACAGTCAATTCAGTGACTTCCTGGACGGTTTAGGCCCCGGTCAGCTGGTTGGCCGGCAAACACTGGCCACGCCTGCCATGGGTGAGTGATGGCTCCCTCTGAAACCGCACATTCCATACCCAGAAATTTCTACATTTGTAATGCAAAAATGAAAACTACAGATATAAGGTTCGATTTTACACATACAACTTCATCTCCACCATACTGTATATACTGTGTATGTGCTGATTTAAAAACATATCCTCCTATACACACAGGTGATGTTCAGATCGGTTTGATGGATAAGAAAGGTCAGCTGGAGGTGGAGGTGATCAGGGCTCGAGGCCTTACCTCCAAACCAGGCTCCAAATCCCTCCCAGGTAACACACACACACACACACCTTAAACAAGATGCTTGAATGTCAAACTTAAACACAGGCACAACCCTGACAAAGCTTCTCCCTCCATCCTTCTATCTGCACTCCCTCTTTTCTCCCTTTCCCCTCCCTCTAAACCCCGTCCCCACACCCTCAGCTCCCTACGTCAAGGTGTACCTGCTGGATACTGGAACTTGTAAAGCCAAAAAGAAAACCAAGATTGCACGAAAGACCCTGGAGCCACTCTACCAGCAGCACCTGCTCTTCGAGGAGAGTCCCCAGGGCAAGGTGCTTCAGGTAATCTTCTGCGTGTCTTCACTTTAATCTCAAAAAGACTGAAACGACCAACCATTGCTCTGTTTGTAATGAGAATGCCCATAAAAAGATTTAAATCTCAACTTATTTTGATTAACTGCATGAAGTAAAGAACGCTTTTAGGCCATGGTTCAACAGATCATAGTAGTGTAATTGTCTCTATGCCGGAGCTGTAGACTTTCGACTTTCGACTTGAATAAACTAAACTGCTGTGAGAAGCGAATTTAAAGGGGCAGTGTGAAGAATGTAGTGCCATCTAGTGGTGAGGTTGCAGATTGCAACGTACTGAATGCCCCTTCACTCACCCCTCCGTTTCCAAGCGCGTTGAAGAACTACGGTGGCCTTAAGGTAATACAAAACCGTGAAAGGCTCTCTCTAGAGTCACTGTTCGGTTTGTCCGCTCTGGGCTACTGTAGAAACGTGGCGGTGCAACTTGGCCGACTCTATGAAAAGGACCCACTCCTCATGTAGACACGAAGGGCTCATTCTAAGCTAAGGAAAACACTAACGATTCTTACTTTTAGGTGATTATACACTAATGAAAACATAATTATGAATATGAAATTCCATTTCTGGCAATTATTCCCCCTTAATCTTACACACTGGTCCTTTAACACAGCTTTAAAAGGAAAACAACTGAAACCGTCTCTCAGTGTACTCAAGAAGTTGCGACTTAAATTAGATTAATTCGAATAACTTGGCATATATTTAATTGTTTAGGACTCAACTTTGATGTTGCAAAAACAAGTTCTCAAGTAGAAGTAAAAATAATAATTGTAACTTGAGTAAGAGTACGAAATGATTTACTGACAAAATACTAGAGTGGCAGGTAACTTAAATACAAAGTTAAAACATTACTGCCACTGACTTGACTTGAGACTTAACTTGAACTTGTCTCAAAGACTTCAGATTTGTCACTCTGAAGCCTCGGAGTCCACATGGCTGCATTTTTGGGGTAAAGAAATAATATATAAACATATCCATAATTTGTATGTCTTTCCCCAGCTCAATGCTTTGCAGACTAAACAAACCAGGATTATACCCGAAATAACCCAGGATTAAACCTGAATAGAACTGGATTTTAAGCAGGATATAAACCACCTGAGCTAAACTGGAGTTAAACCAGGATTTATCCTGAATTAAACTGGATTTAAACTAGAATTAAACTAGAATGAAACCAGGGATAAACTGATATTAATATAGAGTTAAAAGTGGACTTCAAGTTTACACCTAAACTGGGTTTAAGTAGCCTAACTCGTCTCTTCTTTTCTCTCCTCCAGGTGATAGTATGGGGTGACTATGGACGATTGGACCACAAATGCTTCATGGGTGTAGCACAGATCTTATTGGAGGAGCTGGACCTCTCAAGCACGGTGATTGGCTGGTACAAACTGTTTCCACCATCCTCATTGGTGGACCCTACATTAGCCCCGCTCACGCGACTGGCGTCTCAGACGTCACTGGACAACTCAGGACCGCCACACGGCGTTCGGTCGTAGTGACCGAGTGGCGACCGCATTCCCCCCTCCCTTCCCCTTTCAATATCCCTTAAATGACAAAATAATGGACCACAGCTAATGGACCGGGACTGAGCAGAGGGCGAGAACGACGGGCCCTCGGTCAACCAATGAAAAAGCCAGACGGAGCAACAGGGAACAAGAGAGGAGTGTGTGTGTGTGTGTGTGAGAGAAAGAGAGAGAGAGAGAGAGAGTGAGAGACAGAGACAGAACTAGCCAATCAAAGCCTAGCTGGAGTCCGACAATCACGTCTCACACCTTCCCTCTTTCCTCGTCCGTATTCCTCTTTGTTTTTTCGAAGCTTTGCTTTCTTTGTTTCTCTCCTCTGCAGCTGCAGCAGTGGAGGATCCTGTCTGAAACTCTTCACCTCTTGCTGATGTTTTTCTGTCTTTTCTTTTCTCCTTCCATTCTGGTGCAGCTCCAATCAGAGATAGGGATGTGCCCCCCC